AAGGGAAAGGGAAGGCCAGGGGGGGGGGGGGGCGACGGCCATTGCGACCTGAAGGGTAAGCTGACTAATCAATCTTATTTCCATAAGCTGTGTGAGATAAACACCACGGGGGCAATGACTGCATGTGTGGGTGATATCCACACTGAGCAGGCTGTCTAAAAGTTCTGATATCCATATGTAGCGGGCAGTCTAAAAGTGGTGAAATCCACACTGAGCAGACAGTATAAAGTGGTGAACTGCACATGTAGCAGGCACTCTAAAAGTGGTGATATCCACATGGAGCAGTCAGTCTAAAAGTGGTGAAATCCACACGGAGCTGTCAGTCTAAAAGTAATGATATCCACACGGAGCAGTGAGTCTAAAAGTGATGATATCCACACGGAGCTGTTACTCTGAAAGTTAAGGCTGAATGAGGATGTCACGTATTGCGTATAATGTGTGTGTGTGCGTGGTTGATGAGGCCTGATGAGGTTGTGTGTTTGTCAATGTGTAAGTGAACTGAGCTGTGATGTGTGTTTAGTATGTTAGTTCTTTAACGCGGTACAACACAATGCCATATGATGTTCATACTATGAAGGTAGACCTGTTTAATTATGCAATTGCTCATGTGACTTCCGTTTGTATATTATTTAAAACATGGATCACCTCCTTGTAGTCGCTTACAATTGTAACAATTATAGCTTGTGTTTCATTCTTTGTGTTTAATGTGTGCGTGCGATGCTTACATAAAATGTAAGGCCGTTATATATATATATATATATATATATATATATATATATATATAAAGAAAAAATTTAAAGTATATATTTTCAGACAAAAATATCTTCAATGATATGCTTCCATTTCTTGGCAAAAAAGCTCTTCATTTATTGCCTTACATTTCATGGCAAAAAAAGCTCTTCATTTATTGCCTTACATTTCATGGCAAAAAAGCTCTTTATTTATTGCCTTACATTTATGGCAAAAAAGCTCTTCATTTATTGCCTTACATTTCCTGGCAACAAAAAGCTCTTCATTTATTGCCTTACATTTCATGGCAAAAAGCTCTTCATTTATTGCCTTACATTTCATGGCAAAAAAAGCTCTTCATTTATTGCCTTACATTTCATGGCAAAAAAAGCTCTTCACTTATTGCCTTACATTTCCTGGCAAAAAAAGCTCTTCATTTATTGCCTTACATTTCCTGGCAAAAAAAGCTCTTCATTTATTGCCTTACATTTCCTGGCAAAAAAAGCTCTTCATTTATCGCCTTACATTTCCGGGAAAAAAGCTCTTCATTTATTGCCTTACATTTCCTGGCAAAAAAGCTCTTCATTTATTGCCTTACATGTCATGGCAAAAAAAGCTCTTCATTTATTGCCTTACATTTCATGGCAAAAAAAGCTCTTCATTTATTGCCTTACATTTCATGGCAAAAAAGCTCTTTATTTATTGCCTTACATTTATGGCAAAAAAGCTCTTCATTTATTGCCTTACATTTCCTGGCAAAAAAAGCTCTTCATTTATTGCCTTACATTTCATGGCAAAAAGCTCTTCATTTATTGCCTTACATTTCATGGCAAAAAAGCTCTTCATTTATTGCCTTAGATTTCATGGCATTAAAAGCTCTTCATTTATTGCCTTACATTTCATGGCAAAAAAAGCTCGTCATTTATGGCCTTACATTTCATGGCAAAAAAAGCTCTTCATTTATTGCCTTAC